TGTTCTTGCTGAAAGAGTGAGTGTTCAAGCTGATTGGCCTTTTCTTGCAGCTCAATTTTCTCCTCATCACTCCACCCTCCTGTGGGAGGTGGCAAGGAGCCTGTAGGTCAGTGATGCGTTCTTCCGCTTCACTTAGTGACTGCCTGGTGTTTTCCAGCTGCTGTTCAAGCTGGTGCGTGTGCTTAGACTGGGCAGACATTACAATAGCTAGTTTTCCTAGCATCTGGGACAAGGCTTTGTCCTTTGAGGAAGTGGCTCGAGCAGTTGTTACCAGCTCTGCAAAAATTGTTTCAAGGTTCACCGCGTCGGTGCCTTGTAGTTGGCTTGAGTAGCCAGTTACCATGGTCTCGGTCATGTGGGCCAAGATGGAGTCAAAGTGTTCCAGTGGGTCGCCCCCACTGGCTGCCACTAATCGTGGGTCTGCCATGTTCAAAGGCAGGTACTCAAGTGGTTTGGTTAAGGACTTTGGTGTGAGTCCAAATCAGACAACAAACAAGTGTGTCAACTCAGAGGATATGCATAAAAATACAAAAATAAATGGGTGTTGCTTCTATAGTTCCTGGAGCTGTTGATGTTCCTTTAAGTCAATTTGGAAGGTTGGAATCTGAAGAACAGAAGGATCAAAATCAAATCTATGGACTCAGTTATACAATTTGGTTTAATAAAATCAGAAGTGGACTACAGGTGTTAGCTGGTACAGCAGACCTGAGCCAGTCAGTTAAACAGTTTCAGCTAGTGTGTTTACTAGTTGAGGAAAAGGGAATGTCAGGTTGGATAAAGCTGACTTTCAAGTCAGACTTAAATTAAAATTTTCAGTTTGGTCATTTAGGTGAAAGAAAAATAGGAAAAATTAAATTAAATCACACTTGGGATTAAAGTTAAATGCTATAGATCAAATCAAAGTTCATGTTACAACTAGCTTGACAATCAAAGCTCAAAGTCCTTAATGATCAAAGTCAAAGTTGGGAAAAAAATTGTTTGAGAAAAATTAAATTTTAGAATCAAAGTTCAAAATTGGAAAAATTAAAATTTTGATATTAAAATTATATTTCTAAAATCAAAGTTCAAAGGCAATGAGAATAAACTCAAAGTTCAAAGTTACATCAACAAAAATCCTAGGCTGATTAAAGTGGATTAAAAAAAAAAAAATCAAAGCTGATTAAACTTAAAAGATTTTAATTACCCTTTGGTAGTTATCAAGTTATCACAATTCCAATTGCTATAAAAGTCAGAGTCCAAATTACATTTATAATGAACAAGGATTAAAGAAAGCCTAGTTGGAAAGCTATCAATTCAACTTATCAAGCTTAATGTGGGTTTCAGAATTCCAATCAGTCCAAAAGGTTAACAAAATTCAAATCAAGATGTTATTCTGTATTTATTTATTCCTGCAAGGATCAAAAATAGCACTACAGAAAAGGCTTCAAAATGACAAAGTCAAAATCAGGGATATTGCAGCAGTAATAAGAATAAAGCTGTTCATTCAAATACAGCTGGATCAAAATTAGAAAAGCGAATCTTTGAATAAAAGATTGCCTCAAAATTAACAGAGCTACTCAGTGTAATCCTAGGTTAGGGTACTAAACTGGCTCAGTACCTTGTTACAAGCGAACACCCAATAGATCTTTAAAAGTTAGCAGTTATTCAAGGAAAAAGGAGAGCCTGTGCTCTATCCTACACTTAAGGAGTAACACTCCTTATTAATTTAATCTGAGAGTCAACACAATGGTTTATGTGTCAAGTTAACAAGATCGATCACCAAAGTCTGGTTTAATTCACTCGATGATTCAAACGCTCATCTCTGTCACTGATGACGCTGAAGTCGATTTAATGCAGAACATGCAATTTATTCAGCCAGCCAGTAGGGAGCTGTGGCTCCGCCTGGGCGCGGCCTATTTCTCAATGTAGAAGAAGAAGCGGCTTCCTCTCTGGTCCTCGGACCCAACAGCTGTTAGCTTCAGGCTAACGCAGTTAGCAAACCATCGTTGCAGCAACGGCAGTAAATCAGAACACTGACGGACACCAGTCCCGCTCAAAATGGGGGAAGGACTCGCTCCTTTGTTTCAATGACTCAGCTTGCTTCCAAGCTTCGATTTAGCGTTAACTTAGCTCGGTAGGTACAACGCTACAGGCTAAACTCGGCGTCTTCACGCCTGTGACTCCACTGCCGGGCAGCTGTATTTGTTGAAGTAGCTAATTTCAACAGAATACCGGAGTTTTGCATATAACATAACAACCCACGGCTCAGCGCGTCAGACTGTTATTTATAGCCGCAAACAAATCCCATTGGCACGGCGCAACTGTAATCTATCTGCCTCTTATTAGGCCTTAAAATTATCAATATCGATTAAGTTTCTCTCAACCAAAAGGGCATTTCATCCACTCGTCAGCGGAGATTGTGTGTAGCTTTAGCTCAGATTTCTCAAATGGTAACGTTACAGGAATGCATTCAGTTTAACATTAGCTCGGTCCTCATAGCTCAGCTCACTACAACTCTGTACTGAACAACAAAGAACAATGGCCCGGCGGCCAAACAAGTTGCACAAAGCATTTCATTTCACAACAAAGAACATGGTCAAAACTCACACACACTTTCATCACTAACGTTAAGTTAAGAGGGAAGACAGGAGAGTTTCTATGGAGCAATTTACTGGGCGATAATTATTTCAGTGGCAAAATTTTGGAGGGAAATTTTTCTGGGCCTCACACGGCAGGCTCCATTATGTAGTAGACCTAAATTTATTAGTTATGCATTTTAATAAATTTATAAGAATTGATACCCAATTATTTATTTTTATTCATAAAAATCAAAATTTATTTAATTCCTCGTTAAGGGCACCACCGGAGTTGTTATATCCTAGAGTCAAATTTCTGCATCTTTAGGACTTCATGTCCACTTTGGCCCTGCGATGGACTGGTGACCTGTCCAGTGTAGTAGACCTAAATTTATTAGTTATGCATTTTAATAATTTATAAGAATTGGTACCCAATTATGAATTTTTATTCATAAAATCTAAATTTCCTCGTTAAGGGCACCACCGGAGTTGTTATAATCCTCGAGTCTCCGGACCTCTAGGTAGTTTTGAATAATTATACAATTATTACTAGTGATCAGTTAGTTAATAATCGCTCAATTATCTTAAATCAGTCAGTCAGTCTCATATCTAAAGGGTCAATTCTCTTGGCAGGAACTATAAATAGGCAACACACACAGCTCTTGATTATATTATAGTGACTTTATTCTCTAACTAAGGTGATAAAAAGATGGTTGGATACAGGGAACATAAACATTTGCTGAATAATGAGCCTGGAGGTTCGGTTGTGGGAAGCATTTGACTCATACGGCATAGAAGAGCTACTGAAGTAAACTAATGCTATAGTTTAGGAGTTAAATGGACATCTGATCACAGAAAGTGTGTTAAGTCTTACTGCGTCCAGAGGGCCGAGCAGGGTGGCAGAGCCAACAGCGAAGAGAAGAGCCAGAAGCGAGGTCGCGTGTCGCTCTTTTGTTGCCTGGGGTGTGGTTCCCCAGGGGGCGTCTCAGGTTTCCCAAGGGACTGCCTTTCTAAACTTAATGTCTAAAGAAAAGAAATCTATTTGCACGTATTATCATCAAATATTTTCCACAATTGAACCTCAATGGTTGAACGGTTGTACCGTTCTAGGCATTTGGTAACAGGAAACAATTGTCACATTATGGTCAGGATATTTATACATTTAACGGCATTTCCGACGAGGGCATGTAATACTTATTTCGCCCACTTGGGGGAGCTCAGGTTACATGAGGAAAGCTTGGACTACATTAGATGAAGGAGTGTCTTGCTGAAAATAAAAACATTGCACAAGTAACTTCTTTTCAGCACTAATATCAACAACAGATAGCAACAACAGTTAACATAACTACTCAAATAGAGGCAAACATATTCAGGTAACTAAAGATTTAATTCAATTTAATTAGATGCTTTGAGTCTTTTGGAGAGTGCAGTCCTTTTACATTGAAAGTTCAGCTGTCCTGGACAATGTCATACTTAGGTGAGACAAGGAGTATCCCTTTGATGTGGTAATAAAACAAAGAATAAGGTCAGTTGCCACGGAAACGTGTGTGGGGGGCCAGTTTTGATAGGCTGTTCAGGGAGATGCCAATGGCTGGCTCGTGTCCCTTTGTCAGTTTAACAGTCAGACCCCGCGTTATCAGCTTCGGAATCAAAAAGGTGCCAGTTTTATGGTTGGGATAGCACTTAGAGAAAGCAACTTTGACCCCTCCCCTTCTTCTCTGGGGAGGAGAAAGGAATTTAGGGTAGCTCCAAATTTATTCAATGTAAAATGCACAAATCCACACCGTTGTTCACTACAATCCACTAACTGTTGTGGAGCTTTCAATCACATCACATGATCTTTCTTAGCAGATGGAGTCACCCAGTTTTCATTGAAATGCAGATTTTCAAATTCACATTCCTCTGAGCATTTTTAGGACTTCATGTCCACGTTGGCTTCAAAGTTAAAATATTCCATGACAGCTGGGTGAACTCCATCTGCTGAGGAAGATCATGTCATAAAAACAGTAATGTAACTGATGATGACTTCCATGTTTTCTGGTTGGAGTTTCTCGAGGAAGCTCTCTGAGATCGTCGGCCTCAGCATCCCGTCAAACACCCAACACTACTTTACTTAAAGAAATTTCCATATTACAGACACCTAAAGATGTCAAACCAACATTGATATTAATGTCACTAATCATGTCTAAAATACCATATTACCATATTACATGTAGAAGTTACTGAAAATGACATGTTTCAGGATCCTCTACATGTAAATATGTAAATATGTAGATCAACGCTCTCAGCACTGAGGGGGAAACACCATGATATGTTGAGGACAGCTACAGCTCACTGACTCTGTGTGTTTGCATATGTGTCCTGCCTCTCTGCTCCCAGCCGTTAAGAGGCCAGTGTTGATCAGTGGCTGTCCAGGCCTTTCAGAGCCACTGACACGCCGGCAGCACAATGATGATGTCACTGATTCTACTGCTGGCCACCCTGGGGCTCCTTGTTCAGGGTGAGACTCTCTTCTGAAAACTTTGCTTCAGGATGCAACCAGGTTCACCACAATGATGTTCTGCTGTGATGGAGAAACACTGAAACAAGCAGCATTTACCTTCTTCCATCTGTTCTCCATGTTAAAGAAATGAGATTCTGTTTGGATGTTGATCATCTTTCTCCAAACTGGATTTGTCTCAATAACCCTTCTCCTCTTTTTTTTTTTTCTCCACGTTTTCCAGATTCATCAGGAGAAATCATCCTGACTCAGTCTCCTGGAGCTCAGTCTGTTGTTCCAGGACAGACTGTCTCTCTCAGATGTAAAGCCAGTTCACTTATAGGTGATGACATTAACTGGTACCTTCAGAAACCTGGAGAAGCTCCAAAACTCCTCATTTATGATACTACAGCTCGTCAGCCTGGAGTTTCAGATCGTTTCAGTGCAACAGCCCAACAGACTGACTTCACTTTGACCATCAGAGGAGTCCAGACTGAAGATGCAGGAGTTTATTACTGTCAGCAGCGTAACAGCTTCCCACTCACACAGTGATACAACGTCATACAAAAACCTCTCGCAGCTGGAGAGGAACTGATCTGATCAACAGCTGCACAGAAAATTAAACATAAGACATGACAAAAATATTTCTCATAATTATGTGTAAATTAATAACATTTCAAACATGACAGTACTGCATTTATGGACCATGATTTTGGGTGAAGAATACATTTATAAACTTCTCTAACTTTTAGTCAACTGATGTCAACTGTGTCATTAGACAGTTCATACAGATGACAATTCTTACTCTTTTTAATAAATTCAACACAAAACTCAGTGCAAAAGTAAATCACTACAAATGAAATTGTACTATAAAACTCAGAACGAAATGTTTAATAATGAAATTTAATCAACTTTGTAAATAGTAACCCATTAGAAATCATCTTCATCTTTTTTTTTACATTTGTGCTTGAGATGTTACTAAAATACGTTTATGTTTCAGATTGCCTGAATGTTATATCCATTTATGCTGATGTTTTCTGTTATTCTTTTCCTGTGCTGTAAAACTATATTTATTCTGTTTTACAGTTATTAAAGGTAATTTTGAACAGGACTTTCACTTATCTTTCTTATCCACATAAATATGCTTTATTATAACATTGAAAAATGTAGTTATATGATTTCAGACATTTTAATAAAATTAAAATTAAAGACTAGAAAATGTCTATTAATAAGCTCTGACAGTAGTTTAATAATTTTAATATTAAAAAGAATAATACTTCTGTTTAAATAATAATATCCTCAGAAACATTTTGATTTGAACAAAACCATCTTTATTATCTGAAAAAGATAACAGAGTCAGCGTGACTATGAATAAGAAAATAGCATTATTTAAAACTTTTGTCTGAGAGAGACAGAGTTACAGAAAGCAGATTAAAACCAGTAACAGAGTCCCAGTGAGTCAGGTCAGGACTGGGAACACTGGTCTCTCCTCAGTGTCTCTGAGACCAGAGCCTGGGAGCCCTGGGTGGCCTCACAGGTCACAGAGCCCACCTTCCTCCACTGGTCTGCAGGGAGCCTCAGGGTGCTGCTCCAGCTGTAGCGGCCGTCCTTCTCCAGCACCCCGGGGCTCCTGCTCTCCTCCCAGCTGCTGCTGCTGCTGCTGCCGTCCACCTTCCAGGCCAGACTCCAGTCTGAGGGGAAGCCCTTGTTGGCCAGGCACATGAGCGTGGCCTTCCCCTGCTGCAGCTCCTCACTGGAGGGGGGCAGCACCGTCAGGGTGGGACGGACATCACCTAGGAGACACCAATCAGCTTAGAGGACACCTTTACTGTGTGAGAGCTGATTTTCTCCTTTAAGGAGTTTCTGTCAGATGTTTTTTCTGCTCCACCAGTCACTCACTCACACATTGTTTCACTTCCCTTTAAGAAGCCCCTCATGCAAATCAGCACAGAGAGAATCATCATACAGAACGACCTGAAATATATCAAACTACACTGGAAATAAATAACAAACTTTCTTATCAAGATCATCAGAAAACCTGACTGTACAATAATTTATTCAGTGGAAACCAAAACAGAAATGAACTGAAAACAATCAGATGTTCTTTATCTGGATTTCAATCATCACCAAGTGTTTCTTCACTTACATTAACAGCTATAATGAGTTGAACCACTAGATACAGTTTAAACGTCGTTACTTTTCAAGTGCAAATTCAGTCACACAGGTATCACTGCTCAGCTGTATCACTTCACTTACTGACAGATATTCTGACCATTGTGTTATTTTACAAAAGTAGTGCCAGTTGTCCTTTACTTTTCAAAGTGGAAATATTGTATCTTTTTCCAAAATACATAAGAATAGCTACATTTTCGTTATCTTCACTTCAATTTTACATGAAGAAAGTGAATTGTATTTAACCGTAACAACTGCCATTATTGTGGAGAGCATTTTAAAATTAACTAATCTAAACATTTTTACATTAAGATTAAAGTTTTATATTTCTCCACTTCAAGTTGATTATATTTCATTTTGACAGGACTGTGTGAAGAACATTTTAGTTAAGCTGCTCTGAGTTAGCCTCCATGGTAAAGGAAGAGAAATAAAAACATGAACAATAAAAGTTTTGTAATTAAAACAAGATATATTTATCTGCCTTAAACATTGAAAAGTTTAATTTAAAGCAGGACTTGATAATATTGTATTTAGTATATGAGCAGAACTTACTTCCAACATCCAGTCTGGTTCCTCCACCAAAAGTCAACCACAGTGATTCAAACTCATTGAGCCGCCGTACAAAAACCTCTCACTGTAAGAGACGCGGCTCTCTGACTTTGTCAGACTGAACTAAAGCTACAAGCCCTCAAGATGCAACTTTACCATTAAGGTTGGAAATAATGATTTCTGCTGTGGCTTAATATTGTATATTTACTATTTATATAATGAGTTGGTAAATTGCTCTTACTAAAGTGAACTTTGTTTCTTAGTGCAAATAATTTTAATAAACTTTATACATTAATATGGAAAGTCAAACAGTTTTCTGGCATGCTGATTATAAACGTTGAAAAATTGCTATTGAAATAAAAGTTTTGTTAAAGGTTTGACTTACTTCCAAATCCAGTCTGGTTCCTCCACCGAACGTGTACCACAGTGATACAAACTCATTGAGCCGCCGTACAAAAACCTCTCACTGTAGAGAGACACGGCTCTCTGACTTTGACACAAACAAACTCACCAAAAATAGTTTCTGTTTGTTACATTTTATCAGCTGACATGTGAAAATATGACTGTTTTAATTTAACATGTTAATTTTAGGGCTGGGCACGTTAATGTATTGTTATCGCGTTAAAGCATTCATTAATTAATGGCGACAGTTTTTTAAATTATTATTTTGAAAGTCCGTTGCTCACTGGCTCTGAATACACATGGGCCTACAATCAAACCATGGGTCACAGGAGAGGTGGGATGTTGATCAGCCTGCAAATAACCCAAACAACAGCGGAGAGGCTTCGGCAGGTTCTCAGGTGAACAGACAGGGAGACAGCTCTCTGCGAGTGAACGGCCGGCGCTCTATGGATAGTAACCATGGCAACGGCTTCTGTGCGCTACACAGCCGCAGCCTTTAACTTAAATTAAAATTATACACAGACTAACTTTACCTGATAGGCCTGCATTTAGTTTTGCAGGGATGCTCTGCCATGTGAATTCCCTCCTGTTGATGTCCTGATAACTATTTAAATTCTGGAAACTCACAAACAGCGAGGATCAGTCTCTCTTCCAATGATTTGTGCTGCGCGTCACGTACAAAAATTCAAGACAACTCAACTTTGGCAGCAGGCGGGCGTGTGCGTGAGGCGAGCACGACCACGACAGTTTCACTGGAACCCCAGTACACCTTGTGCTCGACCACTTCACCTCACTGTAACAGGGACACTTTCTACTGAACATAGACTGTTTCAATGTTCCAAATCCCAAGAAAACTGGACTCTGATGGTAACTTGTTTTAACAAGCTAGATAAAAGGTAATTCCCTGGCAGTGGTAAATAGCTGTGGTTTAATATTTGATTTGATTACATTAATGTTTAAGTTGAGATTTACAAGAAATATTTTATTGCTGCTGTGTAAAGGGAATACTGCTGGTAAAAAGCTCTTTGCAAACCACACGTTATTGCATTTTTGTGTATGTAGCAGTACATTTAAAACAGCAGTACACTACTTTAGAATTCATTATTAATTTTCAATTTTCAAGAAAATAATGCGATTAATTGTAATTAAAAGATTTAATCGTTGCCCACTACTAGTTCATTTAGTTCAAATTAAATTTAAATTTTTTCTCTCAGTTAACTGAAATAACTCAGAACATATTTTAAACAAAATATTTAACCAAAATCATATAAAAGAGGTTTTTCAAAAATATTATCAGTACTCTGATAAAATGATTGACCCATTGATAAAAATCTTCAGAGTAAGTTCCTGCTGGAGTCAGTCAGAGCATTTCCATAGAGAGCCACTTTGCATCAGCAGCACCATGCTCCAGTGCTCTGGGAGAGTTTATAGTCCTGAGAGTTGAACACTGGATGACTGACAGCTGTCCTTCATGACAACAGAAGCCACAGAAATCCTCCTCATCAAAAACATGACTTTGATCTGCGTCCTCATCTGGACTCTCCTCTGCTGCTGCTTCACAGGTAAAGTCCAGAGAATCAAACTCCTCTCCTCTATGAACATCTCCCTCTGAAATGAAGCTCACAAAACCATGATGCTGCTTTATGTTTTTGTCTCTGTATCCTCAGAGTCCAGAGGCCAGATCACAGTGACTCAGCCTGGAGCAGTGAGCTCTGCTCTGGAGGCTCCGTCTCCATCAGATGTAGGACCAGTCAGGATGTTTATTTAATGGCAACTACCACTTTTTAGCCTGGTACCAACAGAGAGATGGAGAAACTCCTAAACTCCTCATTTACTATGCTAGCACTCGTGCATCAGGGATTCCAGGTCGTTTTACAGGCAGTGGATCAAACTCTGACTTCACTCTGACCTTCAGTGGAGTTCAGACTGAAGATGCAGCAGTTTACTACTGTCAGAGTTATCACTATATCAACAGTCAGGATGTGTTCACACAGTGAAAAAGCGTTTACAAAAACCTCCCTCAGTCAGACTGAACAGAAACTGAACTGACTGCTGCAGCTGGAAGCTACTGCAGAGACTGATACACTTCACTGAGGACACACACACACACACACACACACACGCGCACACACACGCACACACACATACACACACACACATAATTTCTGTGAAGTGGATTTAACATATCAACATTTGGGGAACTCACATTACTTTTTCCAGCATATCTTCTCTCTATCCATTTATATCCCATTGAAATCTCAGGTTCATCAGGGGTTTGTTAAATAATCAAGAGAAACTAACCTGAGACTGTAATGAGAAAAGTCTTGGTCATGACCTTTGACCTCAGCTTCATACAGGATCCTTTGGATCCTTTCAGTTCAGTTTCACGCCAACAAGTAAAAGCCAGTCTGATATTTAATCTTGTCCGGTCACTCTCTCTTTGTATCTTCCTCACTCCTTTCGACAATGACTTCTTCAGTCTCTTTTCAGCCTCTGCTATGATCTCCATACTGAGAACATCAAGGCAGCTTATAGTAAAGCACTATGCTGTTGTGAAAGTTTCCTGCCCGGGATTCCAGTGCTACATAGTGCAACAGCACCGTGGCCGGAGTGAAGCTGTTGTTTTAAGATAAAATTACTAAATCATGATTCAATCACATCACATGCTCTTCCTCAGCAGATGGAGTCACCCAGAAATTCCCATTTCACTCAGCATTATTCTGGCTTCTTTTCCACATTGGCTTCAGAGTTAA